CGACGAACTTAACTCGGAATCTGAATCTCTAGCGATGACGATTTCTGGGTCCGTTTTTCTTCTGTTCCTCGTTGAACCCATTTCGGTAAATAAATTCTCACGACCCGACAAAAGGAAGAATAAGAATCTAAAACTGTTTTGTTTGTTTCTTGGGTTCGAGTTCGATGACGACGTAGCGGTCGCAAACTAAAGCCTCGGTCAAGTCGGTGAATGGTTGGATTGAATTTACGCTGAAAAACTACTTCGTTACCTCCAATTTTAAATTGACTATTATACCCCTCCAAGCCTCCACTTGGAATATTTTTCACAAACTTTTTCTTTTTTTTTTTCGTAGTATAAGCCCACTTTTTCATAAAAACGCAATAATTTTTTGTTTTTTACAAAGGGTGTGATTGGTGAATTTAAACGAAGAAAAAAAATTATTCTGATTTCATCTGGTCCCACACAAAAGAATTTATTTTTTTATTTACTGATATTTGTGTTTACTGTTTGGGGAGAAAAATTTCCACTCGTAAATCTTAGAGGAAAGATTTCCTCTGATTTTCCTTCCTTTTCGGTATGCCCAGAGAAAAGTAGAAGAAACCAGTATATTTATAATTTTACTTGATTGGAATAGAGGTAGAAGAAAAAAATATTCTTTTCTTTCTTTTCTTCTAATAATGTCTAACAGTCGGATCCAAAATAAAATCTGAGTAATTTTTAAACAGCATGAAAATCAGATATTTATTCATTTTACATCCAGAAATTGCAAAGCTAAGGGTATTCTTGGAATTTAAATAAATGTCTCGTGGCAGGAGAAGTGAAGACGTGGCGAATACACAGCCCGGAAGCAAAAACTCACGTGCAATTCGGCGTTGGGCCCTTTTATCTATATCACTAAATGGGCTCTGGCCCCAAATTTCGTTAAAATTATTTGGCAATTTTAAAATAGAAAATAAGGAGACGTGGACGAATAGGAACTCGTATGAACCACAATTTATTTTTTTTTAAATGGAGCTTCGAATCCTAACGATAATTGTTTTTTTTTTTGTGGCGCTTAATTTCGAAATCAGCATCATCGCACAGACCACGACGTCGTTTTCGATCCCCAACTAGAACCATCTATGGAGGAGGAAACTTCCATCTTCTCCATTCTTATACAATGCTTCTTCTTAATTACCTTATCAACCACAAAGCCTTTGAGTAATCGATTCTCTTAATAAGATGCTATCCTTGCGCGTTCCTGCTCCTACCTCCTTCGATTTCCGGCGGTTTAACGCCGGAGGTTTAGACCGGCGATGGAGGCTAAGTAGAGATTGCTTGTTTTCTCTCTCGCCGGATTTCGCCGGTAGAGGAATCGGATTCGGAGTCAGATCTGCCAAATCGGAGATGGCGCCGTTTACCGCGGCGGAGGAAGAAACTCTGCCGGAGGGACTCCAGCCGGAGCTGATGCCGAAACACGTGGCGGTTATAATGGACGGAAACGGAAGATGGGCTAAGAATCGAGGTCTTCAACCTTGGGACGGTCACAGAGCCGGCGTTGAAGCTCTTAGAGAGATCGTTGAGCTTTGCGGTAAATGGGGAATTCAAGTCTTAACAGTTTTCGCCTTCTCTACCGATAATTGGATTAGACCTAAGGTAAGACCTAAAACCCTAGATTTTTTGGAGAGACAGACTTTCGAATCACAGCTCGGTTTTAAAACGATTTGAGTTCTTTGATTTCTAACAGATCGAGATCGATTTCTTGTTGAGTTTATTCGAGAGAACGCTTAAATCGGAGTTCGACACCTTAGCAAAGTAAGTATTCTATATAACAATCCATAGATATTCTTTAAATCGAAATATTTAAAAGTCTGACTCCAGATATCGAGGAGATTATGACCATAATGTCCGGAACTCTCACAATTTATCAAAACGAAAAAAATATTGTATCAAGAATTGTTTTGTGGTGATAAATTACGTCTCAAAGCTGATCTTTTGAGTGTAGGAACAATGTTCGGATATCGGTCATTGGAGATTCATCGAAACTTCCAGAATCTCTAATAGAAGTGATAAATGAAGTTGAGGAAGTAACAAAGAACAACACTAGGCTTCAGTTAATCGTAGCAGTTGGTTACAGTGGGAAATACGATGTTGTACAAGCTTGCAGAGGTATTGCGAAGAGAGTGAAAGATGGAGAGATCGAAGTCGGGGAAATAGACGAGAGATTGATCGAGCAAGAACTCGAGACAAACTGTACCGAGTTTCCTTACCCGGATTTACTGATAAGGACGAGTGGTGAGTTAAGAGTGAGTAACTTCTTGTTGTGGCAATTGGCTTATACAGAGCTTTTCTTTGCTCAAGAACTTTGGCCTGATTTCGGGAGGAGCGGATTTATCGAAGCCTTGATGTCGTTTCAACAGAGACAACGACGCTTTGGTGGTCGAAAATCTTGAACTTCTTTTGCAACAAACAATTTGGTGTACTAGTACAAACTG